CCCATCACCATCATTGGACGGGCCGAGTATAGCTCCAGAGCGGCCCCCAGCCCGTCCATGAACTGCTCGAACTCGGCGAGAGTCCTGTTCGGAGAGAAGTATGTCCCGACAACGACGGTTATTGTCATGTCGTGTCATATGTCATTTTGGTGTTATATGTCATTTTGGTGTTTTTGCAATTTTTGTCTTTCAGTGTGTCTGTCTGTTCCGGCTAATCTCTGAAATGGCTGGACCGATTTTGACAGGTTATTTTTTTTATATATACATATACATAATTTTTTTTTAATAATAAATTTATAAACCATGTTTTTAAATACATACATAATATACATAGAAAACACCCCAGAACACATACAAACAGTCATACTCATGAATACAATTGTTTTGCACCTTCCGAATTGAACCCGTGCCCAACGGACGAAAAGCGGTGTACTAAGCCGCTAGACCACCGAGGTTAATAAAAGGTTATAAATAGCGTATTCCAATGTTATTTGTTAATTAAATCGAATTTAGTTTCTACAGTATTTCCGTACATCAGTTCCTACAAAATATATGCAGGATGCAGACATATATATATATAGGATATTCTTAGGATGATGAGCTATGGTTTTTATCTCCTCGGGAAAGAGTGTAAACTTTCCAAAGGAGATTTCGTTTATGCATGAGTGGGCTACAACCACATAGGATGTGTAGTGGCGTTTCCTCTTCAGTTTGGCAGAATCTGCAGATTTTTGTCGTGCATAGGCCTAGTTTAGCCATATGCTTGTTCAACTTCAGTGTCCTGTGAGGGCCCTAGTCATCATGCATATGTTGTTTTTACTCAATAGCAGTAGTCTATTGGAGTATTTGTTCGAGTAGCCCGATATTAGGGCTTTTGAATGTGTCAATCCTGGCATTTTTTGTCTATGTAATATTACTAATATACATACATTATACTTATTTAATCCACTATTCAGTCTCACAACGAATAGCATCTTAAATAATTCAACAGTCTCCGAAGTCTGTTAATATCGATTGAATGGAAACAAGTAAACAAACATGACAATAAGCCACACGGTGTAGGAGCCGTCCGGAACATGGAAGAACGTCCGGAACAGAGGGAAACAAAAATGATAGTCCACTCAGAGCCCAACGTAATTTATGGATACCAATCGGTCAAAACTAAGTTATTAAGTTGTTTTTAAACTTAGTAATAAATAAAAAAATAAATAAAAAAAAAACTTTCGTGTTTAATATACATTATTTATATTATTAACCGGGTCTTAAGTCAGTCAGTTCGTGATCTAGTGCAACCAAGTCGAAACGTCGAGACAGGTACGAAATAACTTTATCTATACATATAAACAAAATTGGAGTGTCTGTTTGTAATATTGAAATAACTTTCTTAAACTAATACCACCAAAATATAATTTGGCTGACGAGCGGGGTCGCGGGGTCGCGGGGTTGCCCGCGCCGACAATGGCCACCCGGCCAGTGGGGTCGCCGAACCATTGGTCGCTTCGTGGGACGCGATATGGTTCGGCGACCACTGCAAGGTCAACTCCCCACTGCACCGCGCTCTGCAGAAGCAGATCCTGGGCGCGCGCGCAGTGGTTCAGATTCCCCTGCAGGAGGCGATGGACTGCCATTATTAACCGGTGTCCATCACCTCAGCCTCTCCCCGGCGGCCATTGCCGCGGGCCGACGACAGTGCGGATCCCTTCTTTTTGTTGCGGGACTGGGGGCACTTTTTGGCCCCCACCCGGTGGTCAGCTGGGCGACCTGCCGCTGCGCAAACCACGCAGTGTGGGGCCGCCGAACATCCGGCCGCTTTGTGGCCGGGAACCCCACACCGGTAGCACAAGCCACTCCGGTCCTCCTCGTGCGAGCACCTGGCCACCACGTGCCCGCTCTCCAGGCACCTGAAGCACCGGAGTGGCTTCTGCCGCAGCAGTTCCACAGCGGCTGAGACCCAGCCGATCCGGATCCGCCCTGCCGTCGTGACCTTCTTGACCGCGGCCAATGGGGCCCGCACCCAGCAGGTGCCCAGGCCCGACGCGCCGCGCCGAATCTCCCCGACGTTGACGGCGTCCGCCGTGCACTCGCCGTGCTGTGCCACGGCGGTCGCCACCTCCTCCCGGTCGGTACCGTCATCCAGGCCCATGACCCTCATTTCGGCCGTCTTGGTGGGCCTGGCGATTCGGACTGTACCTTCCGGGAAGACGTCCCGGAACTTCGACGCGAGCGCGTCGGCCTGGTCTCCCGTCTGGGACCCTGGAATCTCCAGGATCCGGGCCCCAGTAGCCGCGGTCTTGAAGCGCAAGCTGTTTATGCCCAAGGAGGCGAGGTCAATCTTGTCCTTCGCCTCCTTGAGGACCTTTGAGTAGGTCATTCCCGCCGCTTCCGCCTCCGGACAGAGGGAGACAACTACGGCCGCCGAGCGCGGTGCGCGCAGTTTTGATGGTGAGGGCGGAGCCGGTTTGCCCTTCTTACCCTGAGAGGGGGCCCCAGAGCTCCTCTGAGTACCTTGGGTACTCTGGGTCTGCCTCTCAGGGACGTTGCGGTTTTTACCGCCCCGTCTCACCACCGTGCTCCAGCCATCGTTTGCGCGCCCCGCGCCCGACGGCCCCGGCTGTTGACTACCGGAGGTCGGCCGGCTGGTCGGCTGAGCCACTGGAAGCGGCGGGAATTCAGCGCCTCGCGCCCCGCGCAAATGGGGGGCGTCCCTGAAGCCCGGTCCCCCTGCTCCAGGGATGCGGGACAGAACCTCATACTGCCCATCGCTCTGCAGCGGTGGGCGGTGTACCGGGCGGATCGACGCCTCCTGAAGGGAATGAACCTTTTGGATCATTTCCTTCAGCTCCTGGAAACGGGCGTCGACCATAAACCCGGTCGAGCGCAGAAGTTCCGCCCGCAGTTCCTCGGTGTCTATCACTGACGCCGGGGCCGGGCCAGGTGCCCTCACCCTCGCAGGCCCCTGTGGTGCCTGGGAAGCAGCCGAGGGAGTCTGTGGTGTCCTCGCCGCGAACTGCTGCATCTGTGTTTGGAGCGCCTGGACCTGGCGACGGAGCTCCTTGTTTTCTTTATGGAGCTCCCCAATACGCTTCTCCATATCCCGGCGCTCCACAGCCATCGCGGTGAAGTCGTTGTTGGCGGGGGCATTCACATCCAAGCCCTCCGCCAACCGCATCACAGCGCCGATGTTGTCCCTCAGCAGCTTTTGGTCGGTCCCCTTAAGGTTTCCGCACCTGCGCACCGTCTCCAGGGCAGCCACCAGCTTTTTCTGGGCCTCCGCCCTGAAGACGGCCACAGGCTGCATGTCATCTTTTGAGGGGACCTTCCCCTTCCCCACAGGGACCTCCGAGGGTCGGACGAACATCTCGTCGTCCCCCTGTTTCTCTTGCCGCCGGGATTTCGGCGACGTAGCCGGACTCTCCGTATTACGGCCCAGGGGCACCGATAAGGTGACCCCGTTTCCGGCCAACGGGCAGGGGATCTTCGACGGCTTGGCACTCCCGCCCGCCGCCCCGGAAGGGCCCGGTCCATCCGCGTGCGGCCGCTTCGACACGGTCGTTTTTGCGAGCCCGTCTTCGCTCGACACTAAACATCCGGACATCTCGTCCTCCACCAGCATCGAGCGCGTCGAGCGCGTAGAGCGCGTCGACGACGCTGAGGAAGGCCGAGACGCCCGCGACCTGGCTCGCGAGACGGGCCGCGACCTCGCCGACCGCACCGTGTCGGCGTCCGCCTGCGTGATGGAGTCCGACATGGACCAAAACGCTAAGTCCCGGGGCAGGGACAGACACTCCTCGTCCCCCTCGGCGGGGGACGGGAAAAGGAAGGGGCTGCTACCACCAGCCAACTTCCTCAACCCGACAACAAGGCGTCACGCCCGACCTAAGTCGGGCGGGTACAATGGAGGCTTGTGCCTCCACAAACTGCTCCAGGGCTTCCCCTGGAGCGGGCGCACTAGGCAGAATTAACCCCTGCACAGTGCAGCCACTCCCGGTGAACACCACACCGCCACCTCAGCACAATAAAATAAAAAGAAACGGAAAAAAAACAAGAATCAAACTTAACCTAACTTAACCTAACTATGTACAGAACCTAACCTAACTATATATACAAATACCATTAAAAGAAAGCAAACAAACAAACAAGGAAAGACAAACAAACAAACAAAACAACAAAAATGTGCCAAAAATCCAAAAACCTCCAAGAAAAAACCCTAAATGTGGTCAAGTTGTGCCTTAACCAAAAGAATTGGGTCTGATTGTGTTGGTCAGGCTCAGTTGATAAGTACCAAGACCAACGAGCATTAGGTTCTCATTATATGTCCATTTTATTGAATATTAAACCCGCTATTAATAATTCTGTTTCGCTTAATTCTTTTATCGAATCCTTCAACGCCGCAGTGTCAGCCTTAGAACAATTAAAAATTGGTGATCTTAAAGATTTCATATTATTAACGATTGCCTTAAGAAAAATAGATTCTGTAACAGCACACGCATTCGAAATGTCAATTAGAGATAAAGATATTCCTACTTATTCGGAGTTTGTAGATTTTATTAAAAGTCAAGTAAAAATATTAGATCGTACCAGCACCCGTCCTACGGTTTTTCCTATCGTAGCTAGCCCGCGTAATAATACAGTCCACAACTCGAAAGCTTTGCTATCCCACGACAATAATGAATGTTGTTCAATGTGCAATAGTGGTGATCACTTGCAATTATATCAATGTTCCTTTTTCAAATCGCTTCCAACCGAAGAACGTTTCGATTTTTTTTTTTTTTTTTTTACAAGGGGAAATCCGTCATGGAGACCCGCACGCCCCGGGGGAAGCGTGGGGGTACTGCCGGACTCCTACCGGCTAAAACCCCTTGGTGTCCTCGAGCGCTTTGGTGCCGGGGTTACGGGATCGAAGCATTCAACCGTGATCCCCGGCAGCGCGGGCTCTTCAGCCCCACTCCTGAGTGGCGCACGCGGACACCACGCGCGCCTACTCCTGGCCTCATCCCTTCTTAGGTGACAGCTGACGCCCCCGCGTCAGCTGCCGCGAGGCCCGTGGTGGGAGGTGACGGGCCGGACTCGGCCTCCATCCCCTCCACTCCCGCCACTTTCGGCAGGCGACACCCTTTAGTGCTGCCCATACGGTGGTCCGCCTTCTTCTTCGCCGCCGCGCAATAAGGGCAGTGCGGCGAGGGGGCGGTGCACGATGCGGCCTTGTGGCCGTCTTGTCCGCAGCGGAAGCAGGCTCCGCCGCGGTTCTCCTTGGCGGTGCACCGCTGGCCCACGTGACCCGTGAGCAAACAGCGGTAACACCGCATCGGCCGGGGATCCAAAGACCGCACCCGTGCCATAGTCCACCCTACTCGAAGTTTGCCGGCGTCCACCAGCTTCTTCACTGCCCCTATTGGGCCTCGGACCCAAACGGAGCCACTCCCCGAGGGAGAGCGCCGGATCTCCCCCGTTTTTACGGAGGCCTCGGCGCAGTCTCCCTCTCGCGCTACGGCTGCCACCACATCAGCTACTGTTGTGGCATCGTCCAGGTCCAAGACGCGGAACTCCGCGGACTTGACCGGCCTGGTCACGCTGACCACCTCTGCCGGAAGGACTTCTGACAGTTTTGCAGCGAGGGCGTCTGCCTTCCCGCCGCTTTCCTCCACAGGTCCCGGCACTTCTAGTATGCGGGACCCTGTTATTGCCAGCCTGAAGCCTAGCTCGGTAATTCCGAGGGCGCTCAACTGGATTTTTTGTTGGGCCTCTCGGAGCACCGAGGTGTAGCTTGATCCCGCCTCCGCGGCCCCCGGCTGCAGCGTCAACACTATCGCCGAAGATCGCGGAGGGCGGAACTGTCGCTTCCGTCGATTTCTCCTTTTGGTGGCCTCATTCTGGGCCTCCGTTGCTGCCTTCCTCTGGGCTGGTTTAGCCCCTTCTGTAGGCGCCTGTGTGGCTGGGGCCGACTCCTGGCTCTTCACCATTTTGGCGCGCTTTCCGCGGCGGACGACCGTCGTCCATTGCTCCTTGGTTGCAGGCGGCGGCTGAGATGCGCTCACAACTGCCCCACTTGTGCTGGCTACAGGAGCCACTGTCCCTCCCTTTTTGGCCGCCCCAGGTGTTCGGGGTGCAGCCGCTGCCCGTTTGGGCGGCACGGTGTTCTGCCTGCCTACGAGCTCCTCAATTTTTTCAAATCGGGCATTAAAGATGTCCCCGATTTGACGGACAATCCTAGCTTCGACAGTCTCGGTGATCACCGGTGGTACACACGGTTCAGCACCTTGACTGTCGGAGGCCACATCCATTGCCGCACTGTCCGGCGGTTTCGCCAGTGCAGCTTTGGCTGCAGCCAGTTCCGTCTGCAGCGTAGTGAGCGCCACACGGTCCTCCGTACTCCTGTGTAGCAATTCCTGATAGGAATTTCGGGTCGCGGCAATCTCCCGCTGCCACTCCTCCCTCTCGGCCTTGAGCATCGCCAGCTCGTTCGCGTCTTGGCCGGTGGACCCCATGGTCTTCTTTTTGAGGTCCCGCAACTCCACGTAGTACTTGGCGGACTCCTCCCTAATGGCGGTCATCATTTCCCGCATGTCCGCCAAGTCACGCGACAACCTGGAATTCTCCCGGCGAAGCGCTGCGCATTCGGTAGACGACGTCCTGCCTTCTAGTGACTCAGACGCCGCGCGGATGGTAGCGACGGCGTCCTTGATGTCTTTCACAATTGTGCCCTTCAGGTGGCCGGACTTCTTCACGGCATCGAGGACCTTCAGGGCACATTCCTGGATGTCCGAAACCAGGACGTCGGAGCGCTTTGCATCCTCATCTGAGGGTCTGCGGGTGGTAGGGCGCTTCGCCGGTTTCGGAGCAGCCGCTTTTACTGCGGCTGCCGCCTCCATCTCCATGTCTTTCTGGGTAGCGGCGGCCAATTCGGCCTTCGCCTGCGCCAGATCAGGGTCATCCCCCCTCGTCACCTTCTTTATTGGCCCGGTATTACTACCACCCACTTTTGTAACGGGCGTCTTCTTTGCCGCAGTTGGTGGTGCGGACTTCTGCATCGGTGTTCGGAACACTATCTCCGGCGTGTTACCGTCCGATTTGGACATTTCCACGATCCGTCTTTTGCGTTGGGATCGCCGTTGCGGCAAAGGTGATGATGTGCCGGCAACGTCACTTCCTACCTCCGAATCCAAGGAGAGACTCGATCCCGAGAAGTCGGAATCCAAGCCCTCCATTGCTTCCGCCTCCATCTCGTCCAGCAGCCTCTCGACAAACTCCCTCCTCGCTGCATCTACCTCCTCCTCATCCTCCCACTCATGGCCTAACTTGTCCCCCCCAGAATACTTGGGACAGCCCACCCCCGGCGAATCCGGTGCGGTGGGGAAGGATTCTCCAGCTTTGCTGGTACCTTCCTGGGGTAATAGTTTTTTCGGTTCTGCCATATCATCTGTTTTCCTTTTTTACCCGGGTGAGGTCCCGCGGAAGACGAAAACGAAAACGAAGAATAAGGGGACAGAAAGGATATAGGACAGGAAAGGAAACAAAACATAAAACAAAACGAAGAAAACAAAAACCAAAAACCAAGAAGAAACTATGTACATATTTACAACCTAAACCTAACTATTTACAAATAAATAACTTAACCTAACTATATACACACACTATTTACACTCCTACCTACTCGCCGGACTATCGGCCGACATAGTAGCAGTATCCCGAAGGAACGTCTACTATCCCGCCCAGGGCGTACCAGAACCAAACCATTGCTCGGCCACCGTTCCCCGCGGACGTATCCACGAGGATGGGGAAGCCTCCCAATGGCAGGCCCATACTTGGAGGTTGCCCGACACACGCCCCTCTGTTGACGTGCCTGCTCTAACCTCATGCAATTGCCCGACGCCGCCGCCACCGCCGGCGGCGGGGGAGGGGGCGAGGGCACAAACCGCTCAAGTCGCGGCACAGCTGACCCCAGCGAGTCAGGTATCATTGTGTGCTCGCGCGCATGTTATTAATAACAACAATACAATATTGCTTAGCACGGCGCAAGTAACTGTCTTAAATTACTATAAACAAAAATCGAATATTAGATGCCTTATTGATAACGCGTCACAGAATCATATAGTGACAACTGCTTGTTGTAATCGGCTTAATTTAAAACCAATTGCACTTAATACGCATTCTACTATTAAAGGTATAGGGTCCGCTTCGCAAACCGTTCGCGGTTGGGTTCCGCTCTGTATTTCTTCGAGAGATAATTTATATACATATACTATTGATGCGCTTGTCGTCGATGTCATAACGGATAACATGCCTTCCGGTTTAGTAGATATGACGATTATTGATAATTTATTAAATATACCGCTTGCTGATCCACTCTGGCATACGCCTGGACAGATTGAGCTTGTAATTGGGGCTCAATTATTCCCATATTTCCTATTAGGTGGTAAAATTATTGCACCTCCCGCGCCAGCCGCTCTGGAAACCTTATTTGGATACATTTTAATTGGAGACACACCTTCAGTCGTTGACTCCAATACGAAACCCGCTTCTTCAACATTTCTTGTATATTCCGAACATGATAACGAAAATGATTACTTAGATAAAACATTATGCAAATTCTGGGAACTTGAAGAAATTCCTTCAAATAAATTCATGAGTCCGGAAGAAAAAGAGTGTGAACAGATATACTGTGACACAGTGTCACGTGATTCCTCAGGTAAATATTGTACCGCGCTCCCATTTTCTAGGGATCCAGCTATATTGGGTGATTCCCGTTCTGTAGCTACTCGCCGCTTATTCTCACTGGAACGTAAATTAAAAGATCCAAGTCTTCGTGTCAGTTATAATGAAATCATACAAGATTATCTCCGTAACGATTACCTGTCCGAGGTTCCACCC